TATATATATATAATATTGAATGAGCAGAAGTAATCTTACCAGAAGCAGCATCAGCATCTTCCTTTGTACGTATTTTGTGATCTTTGGTAATTTTGACTCTCTGATGGGCCTCCACACATGTCTTACACAACCATTCTCCACACTCTACACAAAAGCCTATGGTTCCAGCATTGTCTTCACAACTCGTGCACACCTTGGGGGAAAACAAGAAGAATTCAAAATAACTACAAGGAATCAAGAGTGGACTTTCTTGAAAATCTGTTTATATGGTTTCTGTGTGTTTCATGGTCAAAAGACAGTGGTTAAAAAAAATAAAAGAATGAGCGTCTCTGAGAACAGTTTGTATTTACGTTAACAGCGTCTTTACGTCAGGTAGTTTAACGTTTGTTTGTTTGCATGACAACATTGAAAATAAACAATTTTAAACAGAATCAAAAGATATTGTGTAACAGATATATTATGCTACGTGGGAAACAAACTTTATGCAAAAATTTAAGCTAAATGCCCTTTGAATTTGATTAGAATTAATTAGACAAAAAAATTAGATGAAGCTAAATTGAAGTGAAACTCTGCCAAAACGTCTTGCAAGATCCAATGAAAAATTAAAAACTGTCAAGTCTTTTAATTATGCAATATATAAAGCAGAAATATGCCATGTCCCTAAAGAAAGTAAATGTGGGCGTGTTCCTAATGCTGCACTGAGGGTTAAAGAAAATTCCTGCAACAAGCATCCATTTTTCACCAAGACTGATCCTTTATGCTGTACTTTTCAATCAGCCACGTCTCCATCCTCTTGGTTTTTATGATTACATATAAAAGAAAAATCATATCGAGTGATAAGATTTTTTTTTTTTAATTATTGAACGAAGCGCAAGCGTTTCTATTCTCATTAAAAAGTCTGACATCAATCTTTGCTTTTACATTATTAAAAAATAATCTCAGAAATGCCAAACTACGCTGTGTGTTCTTCAAAAAGCAATGAAAAGCATAAAAGCAATGGAGGCTATTCATTTTACACAGTTTAATAARCATTTCAGAATACCTGTGCAGCTTTCTCATCCAACGTGCTGGTGGCCTCTGTGGTATCTTTGACAAAATAGTTGTCTATTATGTCGCTTTGTTTGTAGTCCTGGCAGCAAACCGAACAGCGCATTACATTTACTGGAGACAAAAAGTGACAAGAACAGAGGACATGCAGGTCAAAGGTCTGGTCTTAAAACTGAACCTGTATTTTACTGAACTTTGAAGAAAATTTCAAAGAAACCTAAAAACAACARTTAGTCATCTTTATCAAGGACAAGATCATCTAGTACCTGATTAAAAAGCCTCCAGTTTCATGTTCATTACAAAAATAGTTCTACTTTAAACAAAAGAGGCCTTTAGCTGACTCTTTGTTTTATCGTGTCTTTTCAGTAAGTTTCTTTTATTTAAAAAAAATCTTTGCACAGTGGGAATGCCTTGGCTGTTCATAAGGTTTAATTGAATAAGTTTTCAGTCTCCGGAAGATTCAATCACATCATCTTTGGCACTTTTATTAGAATATTAAATCCCAGAGCCAAACAACAATGGCTGCTTCACTTAATCTCTTTAACTTTCTTAATGAAATTAGAGGAAATATTGATACAAACACTGGCGCCAACAAAAAATTAGTTCAGCGAATTCAATTTGCCACTTAAGTTCAATAATTGTCACGTGACTAAAGATCTCATWTCTGTTTAAATTAAGTTAGAAAGATATGCAGCTTTACAATACCTCATAAACCCATAAATCCCCAACCCCCCAGACCTAATAAAAAAAGCCAGACATCTGGGGTACAAACCAGTTTAAGCCAGTTTGAACCGGTGTAGTCTGGCTTGAGCAGCACACAGCCGGTTTGTGTTAGTTCCAGCTGCATGGGCCTTGTGAGTGTGTGTGTGTGTGTGTGTGTGCGTGCATGTGTGTTTTTGGTTGTGGAAACAGCTGGACAGAGACTGTGCTCAGAAACCCACACAACCCCAAAAGAGCACACACACACATACAACACAGCTGTGCCACTYTGAAATGAAGCACCTCACACACGGCTCCATGTTTGTACGCAATACAGACATACATTAATACAAAAAAAATTAATTACTAAMTAAAACATGTGTAAAGTATAAGATAAGCTAAAACTTTATTGATCCCACCGTGGGGAAATTTGCACAWTACTGCAGCTCAATACAGGAGAGGGTGAGAAGAATAAAGATAGATAAATAAAACAACACAAACCAAAAAAACCCACAATATATACATGCAATAAGTATGCAATAAATGTTGCATTGTTTGAACCAAGATGAGATCAATCTTTTGTAGAAAGGTWAAAATATTACATCTCTCAGCTCGGTTTGGTATTGGTAGTTACTACCATTTAATTGTGACAGTGTGCGAGTTTGTGCATCTGATGTTTTTTTTTTAATGACAGAACTTAATATTCTACGGAGCCCATCGGTTGACATTTGATATATATATAAAGGTATGCCCACTCATTACTATCTCATGGCAACTAGATTACGTTTGAATTAATTTGATAAGAATAAAACACAATGTATGGGGTAATTAGCAAGAGATACTTTATTTGGCTACTCAGAATTATTTCGTGTCAACGCATTAACTAACTATTTTGTCGCCACTAGATAATGTGTGTACATACATTATTATTTTTTAATGTCACCAGATGGGCTACGTAATATTCAGATATAAGTTAGAAAATAAATGAAACACCTTAAGTTTCTCCCAGCTGAGATTACAAATATCTATTAATGACTGTAATCAAATAGTTTTTTTGTTTGACTGTTCATAAATGCYGAATACATCTTTTAATTTCTTACGTCATTAAAAAAGGATCTGTAACAGATAAGGGTGAGAAATCTTTGGTATTTTGACCACACGACTGCAGCATTACAGGTGCACAAATACAACGAAAATCAATTTCTGAGTGAATTTATATGAAGATTTATTCAAATTAAGTAGAGAAGTAAGAAGTATCCTAGATAAGCATTGAGTCAGTAATAAACAGGGTAATTTGTAATCCATTTAACTAGGTTATGTTAATAATTTGTTCAAATCTGGTTAATAAAAAACATTTACAGATTCAATTGTTTAAGTGGATATGGTCAGTTGATCATTTATTCATATACTGACCACAAATGAGTGCTGCAAAAACTTAACCAAAACTGTAAYCGAAAGGTCAATTCAAGCATTATTATTATACGTTACATATACAAAACATAAAGATAAAAACAAACAGTGTATTGCCCACATATAACCTGTTTGATTTGTTCAACTGACCTTTAGGGGACACATTACGGAGATGCAATTCTTAGGAATTAGTGCAAAAATAAATTTAATCATAGGAAGAAAACATGTGCTTTGAGCCGTTTATTTTGWAGTACACAAAAGTTTAAGAAAGAGGCTTTGATTTAGCTTTAGGTTAAATCCACTGTAAAGTTTCAATCTGGAGCATTTGCACTGCTGACTTTAGGATTTTTGCCAGATAAATAGCAATCATGCCTTCCAAAAATGCACCAGCTTTAATCACCAACAGGAAAAGGTGCATCTTTTGATAAACAACTTTGTGTTTTTTTCAAAAGATGCAGCTTTATAATATGCATACTTTATAATATATATTATACAAAGTATTTTGCATAGCATAAAAAACAAACATCTGAAGATCTTCCGACTGCAAAAAAAAGGTCATTATTTCAGGATAAAAACATTAACGTTACTAGAAAATGTCATTTCAGTAACCCATTRCAAGCTGGCTYTTAAATATCYACAAATTTAAACTCCAGCAAGATCYGAGTTTGTATGAAGCCATGGTTAATAGTTGTGAATTCAAGTATTTGTCTGTTCTGCCCATTCAAGTGTTTAAAAAAAAGCTCTTGGTGCAGTGGTGTTTTTATCAGTAAATCTGCATCCCATTCAATGTCACTGCAGCAGGAGCTGGAAAGAAAAAACCTTGCTGTTCACCATGACTTTTGTTACAAAGCATTACTGTCACATTCATCGAAATAAAATTCCTAATTATCTGATTATAATTAAAGTTTGATTTGTGCCACTTATATGCAAACAGCTGAACAACCTTCTTTGAAGAAACTGGATATAATCTCAGGCGAGCCACGTGTGTGTGAAACAATAGTCTGAAATCCAACTCCAGTGTTGGTCATAGTCACCTGTGTTTTAATATATAAAGTCACTTGTTACCCCAAATCACTGAAGTTTACCCAGCAACTGTTGAAGCCAATGGTTCTAACAGAAAGTAGCTTCCAAAGCGCTTGACAGATGATACTGCACAGGCCAGGTGGATCCTTATACTCACCTATGTGCGTGTCAGTTTGCCCGTGCGGTCCTGGCACCTGTACGCTTATCTGTCTGTCTGGTTGCGGTATACATTTCAGGCAGAATGAGTGCAGACAAGGCAGAAGTTTCGGTTCACAGTCTCGACTCTGCAGACTTTGTTTACACACTGCGCACGTATCCAGTAGATTAATGGGAGTGGATACCGGTGTGGCGGCCGCCGGAGCAGGAGGAGGTGGAGATGTTTCGGTTGTTGATCCGCCGACCGAAGCGTCCACGGCGGGAAGGGTTTCGGTCGACGCCGGCTCCGCGTTGGTGCTATTCGATGTTTCGGCCGCCGGGCTGCCATTGGTTTCTCCCGCCGCAGCAACGGCAGCCTCGTCTTTGCTAATGTCCACTGCTTCACCGCCAGCGCTGGGCGGAGGTTCCTCGTCAGCCTTATCAGGGGGCTCGGTTTCTGCGTCTCCCTTTGTTGTCGCTTCTGTTACCATTACCGTGTTTTCGATTTTTGAATCCGTCGGCTCGTTAGCTGGCGCCGAAGGCACTGAGTCCGAGTTAGCTGACGGTTCCATATCTTCCTCGCCTTTGTTGTCCGCCATCTTCCTTCCTCTTAGAACCGCCGCACGTACGTTGGCGTAAGTTCTCGAACCAGGAGTACGTATGATTACGTCATGACGTAAAAATATCTATCTATCTATCTATCTATCTATCTATCTATCTATCTATCTATCTATCTATCTATCTATCTAATCTATCATCCTAAAAGTTACGTTATTAGATAAATAAATGGTTCAGTGAAATTCACTCTCACAGGAAAAAATACATTATTTTTACGCGTGACTACACTGAATTCACATAAACATGTTGAAAATGTCCCAGTATCTACAAATTTCAATAATATGCAACAATAAAGGTTTGATACACAGTTCAATTTCTTTATTTTTTTAAATGCACAACACGGTAATCAGGCACAAGAATTGGACAAAAAATGAGTTGAGGAAAACAGAGCTTCAGCTTTCATGATTAAAATTACGTTTTGTTTTGTTTGTTTTTTTTGTTTGTTTTGTTTTATTAAACGCCTTTTTTATGGAAGCAAGTAAGCAATAAATGAATTTTTTTTCGCAATGATACATGTACATATTCATAGTCTTATTTTTTTTTCTTACTTTATTTTTCAATACCAGGCCGAAACCTTTTGCAAAGTTTGCAAGTTGTGCATCAAGCTGCCGGGGACTTTATTTTGAAATCCGACACCGGAAGTGCTACTCAGTCCCAGAGTTTTTGGAGCAGCTACAGCGGTGTGCGAGTACAACAAATTCATCCATAATTTGATTAATATGGCCGGGACGGCTTCGGTGGCCGGTGAAGTGTTTGTCGATGCTTTACCTTATTTTGACCAAGGTTACGATGCCGCAGGTGTCCGAGAAGCAGTGAGTCTCAGGATACAAACTTAGCATGTTAAGTTAGCATGTTAGCTTAGCATGCTAACACGATGGAGTGGAGCGTTTTGGTGTGACGTTTTAGCGATCAAAGGTGTCCCGTTTCTGTAATTAACCTCSTCTTGTTTGTTTAGGCCGCAGCTTTGGTCGAGGAAGAGACCAGAAGATACAGACCCACAAAGAACTACCTGAGCTACCTACCTACACCTGACTTCTCTGCCTTTGAGGTGAGAGTCAATAAAACTGTTTCTTCTTTATGATTTTTACACCGTAAACACAATTATTTAAAAATCACTTGGTTTTTTTTCCCCCTCCACCCTTCAGACAGAAATTATGAGGAATGAATTTGAACGATTAGCAGCTCGTCAACCCCTTGAACTTCTGAGCATGAAAAGGTAAATCCTGGATAAATAAAGGTTAAATAAATAATATCTAAAAAATCACGTGTAACACATTATGTACAGTTTTTTTTTCTTTTTGTCTTCTTATGGCTTTAAAAATTAAAAAAAATTATATTAAGTTTAAGATTAATCGTGATTAATTTGCAGCTACCTTGGAATTAATAGATTAAAAATTTTAATCATTTGACAGCCCTAATTTTAACCTTTAGATTACATGAAATAGAAAAACGTGAGACTTCTTTGTACGTAGTTATTCTTTAGGACAGAGGAGCCCAAAGTGGGGCCCGCGGGCCAATTTTGGCCCGCCAAGCCATTTGATTTGGCCCACCAACAGTTGCCAAAGTTACAAGGTTGTAACCTGCACTCTAAAAATGAAATGTTGGATTTACTTAACCATGTTATGTTACCTGGTTCCACTTAACTGAGTTGAGTAAATTCAAAGCAACATACTCATGTTCTTTGGCTAAAAAACTGGTATATTGCTTTGAATTTACTCAACTCAGTTAAGTGGAACCAGGTAACATAACATGGTTAAGTAAATCCAACATTTCATTTTTTACAGTGTGTTATGTAGAAACACAGTATTTCCATTGGTCAAATGACTATATAAAAGGGCTGTAGTGAAGGTAGTTTACATTCATGGTGCTGACTTTATCTTTGATTTATTAGGATTAAACATGAAACATGAAATGATAAGAAATATTTAGATCTTATTTAACCCCACATGTAGATTTGCACACTTTATAAGGCCACAAAAACTCATATTTTATCAATTTATGAAATGTCCCATGAGCCTTTGCTACTTGAGTGTATGGCAGACTTTCTCCAAGTGCACAGACGAAAACAAAAGTGGGTCATTGCATAGCTTAATCATTAAAAATAAAGGATTTTATTTAAAAAAGTATTTGTATTTCATGTATTATATTACTGCATTTGGCCCGCAGACCTGGATAGATTTTCATTTTGACCCTCTCGGGGAAAATATTTGGGCACCCCTGCTTTAGGATCATGAAAAATCTAACTGTTAGATTGTAGTAATGATTTCACAATAAAGGCTTCAAATCATTACATTTAAAGATTTCTTTTAAACTTTATTTTTCTGAATATTGGTAACTTATTCAGACATTTTTTCCCCCCATCTATGTGAAGATATGAGTTGCCAGCACCTTCATCGGGCCAGAAGAACGACATTACAGCGTGGCAGGAGTGTGTGAACAACTCAATGGCTCAGCTGGAGCATCAGGCGGTCAGAATTGAGAACTTGGAGCTCATGTCTCAGTATGGAACCAATGCCTGGAAAGTCTACAACGAGTAAGCAACATCAGCTTTTTCTCCAAGATMATAACTARGGATGTCCTGATCAGATTAGTGTACTGGTCAAGGTATTTTTCATTGGTCAGAATCAGAAGCTGGCACGCTCAGCTCCTGACCTTCAGTGGTTTTATGTTGTCAGCCACGCTGCAATCCAGCAGCTGTATTATGGTTTGTGCTGTCATCTAATCCTGGAGCCAGTTGTTGAAAACGATGGAAACCTGGATCAAAGTTATCCGGATTTTGAAATTTTTGCTACCCATTATCCCAGTTCAAAAAAAAAAAAAAAGGAGAATTGGATCAATTTTATCCAGAACTTTTTAAAGATGACCAAATCTGGAAACTGAGCATTGTAAATGAGACTGCTTATCACACTAAATGCTAGAAAAAGATGGTGGAATCGCCAACATGAGTTTATTTATTTGAAGAAACATAAACAGAAAATACAAACAACCCTTTTTTATTATCTTATGACCAGTCATATTATATCTGCTTCACAAAAAAAGCAAAAAAAAAAGCAAAAAATTTAAACTTAAAATGTCAACCTCGAAACAGAAATAAAACCCACACATTAAGTCTTTTTCTGTGGAATGACTCAAGTTTGAAACTGTGTTTTCCCCAACAAGTGTCCAAYATAGTCCTCACTTTGTCCTGCACAGTAAGGCTACAAAGTGAAGTCCGTCTCCATCCGTCTCTGATGAGGTGAACGACGCACCTGAGCCAGATGAAAATAAAAACGTACATCTGACATTCACACAGCATATCAGTGACTGGACATGCAAGAAGCTATTTTTGAACAATGATCTTTGGACTGTACAAATTAAATCGAAAATGTTCCCAAATTGTATTAAAACCCATTTTACTGGATGCAGCTAAAATCAAATAAGAAAATAATACAAACTTTGTTCAAGTTGGTTTTGGGGGAAAAAAAAGAAAATCAAGTTATTCAATTTATTGGAATAAAAAAGAGGGAAATTTTGGCATTGACTCAGTCAGATTATCCTGCTTGTGGGCCTTGAACACTTAAGAGTCAATGTTTTTTTTCTAAAGTTGCTAAGAATGTAGAAAACAATTGACACTAAAATATCTTTTACATTTTAATAAATACTATAAGTCAGCGTTGTGACTTTTAATGAGTGGGTTATTTTTATTTCTGCCTTACATGTCTGTAGTGTAAAGTAGTCCATGGTTTCACCTGCAATGGCTAGAGAATTGGGTAAAAAAATCAGTAAATAAATACACTGCTCAAAAAAATAAAGGGAACACTTAAACAACGCAYGCTAACTCCCGATCYTAATCAATGAAATATTCGCATTGAGTACTTTGTTCTGTACAGAGTTGAATGTGCTTCACAAAAGTTTGATTTACTTGGACTTAGCGTGCGTTGTTTAAGTGTTCCCTTTATTTTTTTGAGCAGTGTATAAATCTATGATGAATGTTGTTTATTTGACAAGTTGGAATTAAATTTAAATAACGTTTTTGCTCCTGAAATCATCCCTGAATCCAATAAACTGCTGGGATCCGAATAATCCAGATTTCTTTGGATCAGAGTAATCTCAATCAAAATAAAATGTTTTGAACACCACAAATTGAGGGTTTGATCCAGATTAAAATCCAGGATTGGATTACGCGATCGGTTTTTGGACAACCCATTTTCAAGATTTTATCCAATCCATTATCCAAAATCCAGTCAGATTACTGTTGAACAACTGGCCTGTGGAAAATAAAGCTGCCCAAGCACCGATTACAATTTTCTCTGCCATTGGACAGTAAAAGATTCAAAGTGAATATTTATATGGAGGCCACAGATGCTGTAGCAGTCACAAACATAAAAGCACTCATTTATCAGTCAGGTCAGGTGCAGTATTTGCAGATAAAACCCAGTAATGCACAACTAGAGCTGAAGAAGCAGTTCTAAAATCCCATCACGTCAAACTTTTTCTGASAGTTGTGCACATGTGGTTAAAGTGTATCTTACCCCGCTGTGAAAAGATAACTCCGCTCCAAGGCGATATTTGAAAAATGCATCAGGGTGGGTAGGGGAGGGGGTGTGGGTGGGGAAGGAGAGGCTTTTATACCAGAACACAGGCGCTGTGATGAAACCGTGGGGGGGTAGAGAGCAGAGTTGTGGCCAGAACGAGAGAACGTGACAGGCAGCTAGCATTAGCATAATTGATGCTACGTGGAGAATGACCACAGTATGGGACAGAGGAGGTGGAGCGCTCCGACAGCCTGACAGAAAAAAATAAAAGCATACAGCTGCAGCTGCTCACAAGATCGCTACTTTAAATCAGGAATAAAAGTGTTGGGTCTTGTTTGACTGAAGTTCGGTCCGGTTCCATGTCAACCTCTTTGGACGTTTACCTGTACAAAGAGCCCTAAAAATCCATAAATTTCGCAAAAAATCCTTACAACTCGCTGTGCAGGACATACTGCTGGTGTGTGTGTGTGTGTGTGTAGAGAGAGAGGGAGAGAGAGAGCAGCGCAGCAGTCAGCTCTCCCCAACCGAGGCTGAAGGTCAACAGACGATCATGCTAAGCTTGCTAACTGTTCCACCCTCTGACTGCTGCAGGGGCGTGTCTTAGAGAGAGGCTTTTATACCAGAACACAGCCGCTGTGACGAAACCGTGGAGAAGACACGTCACAGCGCAGAGCCGTTAATCAATATGCAAATTAGCCTGCAGTACCACTGCTCTACCCATATGAGCAGCAAAAAGACGTTTTTAGACCAAATATTACAGATTTGAACAAATACGCACAAAAACATCAAAATTAGCACAGAAACAGTACTATATAACATTTTAGACACATTCTAGACAGTTTATCAGCTAAAAAAAAAGTTAATATACAGTATGTTAGCCATGTTAGCATCATCACTGCTAGCAGCACAGTGAGCCACTGGTGTTTTCAAAGCAGCAACAAGAAAGCCTAATTAAAGGCTTTCTTGTTGGTAGATATTCTCCATAGATAGTTCCTCTTCACAGAGGAACACTGATGATTGTTCAGTCTGGCTTCTCTGGATCAGCCAACCTTTATTTTTAAATAACTTCAGTTGGTGTTAGGAAAAAGATGTCTTGATTAAGACGTGATCTGACTAACTCTGTATTCTTTCTCCACAGTAATTTGGCGTTTATGATTGAGATGGCTCAAAAGGAACTTCACAAATTCAGGTAAAATGCTGACAACGTAATTYCGTTAAAGGGATGTATAAAATACGTTTTCACGCCCACAAATTTAACCGTTGATTTGGTACGCAGAAAGCAAATTCAAGACTTGAACTGGCAACGTAAGAACGATCAGTTGGCAGCCGGAGCCAAACTGCGAGAGCTGGAGTCCAAGTATGTYGTTTGAAAAGCTTTTTATGTCCATTCGGCAAAATGCTCGTTCGATTTCCAGCCGTCCTAACGTCTGTGTTTGTTCTGTAACAGCTGGGTGTCGCTCGTGAGTAAAAACTACGAGATCGAACGGGCCATCGTCCAACTGGAAAACGAAGCCGCTCAGCTCCGACAGCAGCAGGGCGACGAAAACAAGGAGAACATCCGGCAGGACTTCTAATCACATCTGGAGGTTTCACCATCACTGAGCTGAAATTAAACTATCTCTGTGAGACAGATTTCCATTTGCCTGGACTAAAAACTGGTCTGATGTTACCGTCACATTTGTAAGGAGCTGTCCACATAACTTTAAACCACATGTTTAACATTTTACACCCACAAAAAAAACAATGTGTTAAAGCAAGATGTTTTACATTTTACTGTAAGAAAGCACAGAACATAATTCACACACAGTTTTTATCCTGCAGTTAGTGATGGCTTGTTTGGTAAAGATAATTTATTTTACCAGTCTACACACAGCTATTGATAAAAAAAAAGTCAGTTTTTTTGGCTAAGGAGTAGTTTTTCTGTGTTCCTGACACACTGGCAGCAGTACTTATTACTTCATTCTCCTCATGACTTGTTTTAAAAATATTTCAGTTTCAGTTAAAGTTGCCTTTCAGTAAATTAGTGTACATACTTTGTCACGTCTGAATACAAATGTTTGTGACCCTACAATATCTTCAATTTATTTTTTATTTTGAATACAGTTTGTAATAAAACGAACTTTTAATATTTTTAAATGCCTTTGATTTTTTTTCTATTGTGTCAGTACTTTTTAAACTCTAATATCTTCTCAGTGGGATACATGGGAATGAGTCATAAGCTAACGAACAGTATCAAGTTTTTATTATTCTTTTTTTTAGACAGTTTGATTCATGTTTAACTTTTGGTAAATTTTCTCCAAGTTTTTGAAAAGTCTTACCAAAACTCATATTTTTATTATTTAGTTTTGATTTTGTCACTTCTGGTTCTGTCCCATTTATTATGAATCACTGCAGTAACTGATATGAAAACCTGTGCAGATGTATATCTCTTATTACTGAGCATGTACAAAAGATGTCAAAAGACGCACAGACAAATTAAAATAAAAGCAGCAATATTAAGTTATGCTTATTACCTGCTACCTTTCACACCAGAGTTTTCCACTAAGATCAGCTTATGTTGAGAAATGATAGTTTAAACTGTTTTGGTGAAACTTTGGGAAAAAAAATAATCGTAAAATCTTAGATGACGTGGCTTTCAGAGCAAGTCTTGATAATGATGCTCAGCTACTACCGCATCAAATTTCAGAAAAATATCTGTACTTAATTACAATTATGTTTGTGTTTTGTAGGGTCAGTAAGTTGTGGCAGCCATCTTTAATTGGGTTGACTCAAAGTACTTCATAAAACTTTTCCTTCAAGTTTCATTAAAATTCACTCAGTGGTTTATAAAATACTGTATGTCGTTAACATGCAAAATGTTTGTTGGTATTTTTGGCTTAGTTGACACACAACTCTTGTGTGGTAGGAAATGTAATATGATTTCTTTTCCCCTCTAAAGTTATTTTTGGACAAAGCATAGACAAACAAATGTAAGAATATGAACACAGAGAGAAGCACGCTGCTTTTTCACTTGATTTCAGTCTAATCCTTAAGATTTATGAAACAAAAGTTTAAATTAAGTAACTTATAAACATAAAACATGGCTAAAAATTGTATTATTTGGCACTATCTGAAGCCTGCAGCACAAATAAAACGTTCTGTTAATTTAATGGCATATACAAATACTTTGTGTCGTTAGATATCTGTGGACCAAATGCTCACGAGTTCAGACTTGGTGAGTTATGATGCTACATTTGACAGGAACTGAAAGAGAAAACAAATAAATAAACAGCTGGAAACTGAATTAGACTTACAGACAAGTTTAAATGTAAATCTTACACTCATCATCTTGCACTATAAAAACATTAAGTTGTTTACTTTTAAGTGTTCCCACATTCCTTAAACAGAGAGCGATATAATAATTTTCCTCTTTCATTCACAAACAGGACGACCTGAATGAACAACAACCCGATCTGTGGCAAATCAAAAAGCCTGTTACACAGAATTAACTGCATGAAAAGCCAGACGTCCTGCAGAAAAATAAATTAATAAAAAAAGAAAAAAAGGCAGCGAAGAAGGTAGACCAGGTCTGAGGTTGTTTTTACAGATGCAAACTAAAGGACGAAGTTTGATTAAAAACCCAACAGAAACACTGATAGTCACGCTCCGTCATGTCGTCGTTTTCCAACTTCCACACTTGTCACTCGCGCAGGTTTGCAGGCACCGTTATACTGTTAGCAAAGAAACTATAGGGTTCTCTTTAAGAAAAGTTATCCTTTGTGATATATTCATTTACTCCACTCTGTGCAAAACTGAACAGCMATTGGTAGCTGAAGTAGAGGGCTTATTTTTTTGGCCATGTCCCAGTYTATATACTGAGAGTATTTAGAGCTGGTACTAAAGTCACAGTATCCTGCAGGTTCTGGTTCTGGTCCTGGCCTCCTTTACCCTGAAGAAACCTTTGCCTGTGCCTCTCCTCTTGCCGCTTTTTCTTTTCTTGCCGCTGCTGCTCTTTCTTCTGCTTGTTGGACAGCTGGGTAGAAACAAAAACGCATTTTCAATTTAGTCCTCTAATTGTGCAAGATGCTCCGTTTAAACAACTTGTTTGGACAAACGTGAATTAACCAAGGAGGTTCTATAGAACAGYTGGAGTGMKCARAAACCAGGTGACCGTGTGATCGGCTGGAGAAGCTAAYGGCTAAYGCTAAAMRGGCAAAACTCTGGATTTCCCATTACTGTACATGTTGGTGACAGAGCAGAAAAAAAGGACTGACGATGTAGAAATCATTAAAACTATTAATAATAATATTAATCCAATTATTATTAATATCGTACAGTTTATATAATCTATCTAATGTTTTAAATAATGTCAGAAAAGCTGTGTTATGGATTTATTAACAGAAGATAAACAGGAAAACATCTCGTTTCACAACACAAGTCAGCAGATTTGACCTTATTTAGCTCAATGTGATCTGAGCAGAACTGAAGCTAATAATATAACAGTTTAAAATTAAAATAATCTTATAAAGTCGTAATCACTGTTATTTATTGAACTGGTTAGCAGATATTAGCTTGTGGAGCATATATACAGAGTGTAGCTCTGTTGAATCATGCTACAATTTAACACAAACTATTAAATGTTACTTCATTTGTTCTCTTATTAATATTTAGACCTACAGAGTGTAAAATAATGTTATGTCTGATTAATATTTAGACCTACAGAGTGTAAAATAATATTATAAATGTCTCTGATTAATATTTAGACCTACAGAGTGTAAAATAATATTATAAATGTCTGATTAATATTTAGACCTACAGAGTGTAAAATAATATTATAAATGTGAGTATTTTTAAGTTTCTGTTAGAGGAACCTGACTTGTTAAGAAGATGGTTAGCTAATAGAGACAAGTTTCATCCTGTAACCTTTTGATGACAGTAAGAAGAAATAATAAATATACTTTATTACTAGCTGAAGTCATCATTTGTCAACTAGCTAAAGTCTAAGTTACAGGCTGACTTCAGGTCTGGTTTAGATCATTGTTACTTATAAATTATATATTTTTCTGGTATATACTGTATCTGCTGTTTTACATGATTGTTGAATGAAATTAACAATTATTAATTTATTGTAAAAACATGACAGATAATTTGTGAAACAGATCCGGTTCAGCTGCTGTTTATCTATTAGTTTCTATGGAGGCTGTGAGCTGTTGCCCTGTTAGGGCTCCATTTCTGCTCCTCCATGTTGTCACAGACGCTACCAGTGGACGGTATGGGCGGGGCTCCGTCTAGTGATCTTTATATTTAAGTCTTTGAAATTAACAAGAATAAAAGTAGTTTTTTTAAAAAGCTATTCCACCTTAGGTTTCTGTGCATTGCTGCCCTCTGCTGGCTGCTTCCGCTCGCTGCAGACTGAGCAGGATCCTGTCGTGCAGCTGCCCTGGCAGGGCTGGCCAAGCACAGAACCAGCGAGCCACTCTGCATTGATTGTTGCTGCACTCAGCTGGAGCAAGTTCTCCTCGTCACCTGAGACACAAAAACACAAATACAGTCGTTACAGTACATGGTGTGCTTATATAAAKGTAGCTGTAAAGACAAGCCTTCAAGGTATTAAATCTCCAAGCGTTATCTTCTGACCCTGGATTCCTCGGTTCTTGATGGAGCTCAGGATTACGTTTTCCTCCTCACATGCTGTCGGAGATGTTTTTTTCTGTCTGTCCCTCTGGCCGTCTCCAAACTCACGCTGATGGCCTTGTGAATTCTCCAGGTTCTGCAACAGCCCAAACATCTTAGCTTATTATGCCTGTGTACAGGTAAAGCTGGAAAACAACCTTTTATCACCAACAAAGTAACATGTGACACRATATGTTGCTGAATTAAAACACAACAAAAGAGAAGGAAATATTATTTAGTGTTTTCAGGTATGATGGCTAATAGCTCCTACATATTAGTGTAATAAACATCAACTGTGTCAGAGTTGAGAATCCCTGTTGGTTAAGTTATGAAATCCTAAGTGTGAACTTTATATATATATATATATAT